CAATATGACTATTTTCAGTATATAATATTACAACTGACAGATTTGGAAACTGTTCGCAAGAATTTTAAAGCAAAACAAAAATTTTCCCCCAATTTGTTTGTTTTGCATGTTAAGTTATTGGAATGATTTATTCATATGGAATTGGCGATAAGGCCAATATCTATCCTATTTGATTAACATTTCGTAACTAACGAAATCACAGAGATAATTTTTGCAACCAGAAAAGCTCTCAACTTCCATCCTTTGTTAACAAATGGCAAATAGTTTAGGAATTATAAAATTAAAACTATCTACATACTCCCATACAAAATTTCGTTAATGCCCTGTATCCACAGGAAAACACTGATGTCGTGATTACCATGTCACAAAATATATTTCCAATGGAGACCGCCTATTTCTCATGGGCTGCAATATATGTTAGCGCTTATTGCTTGACATCCACTGCACGCAATTTGATAGTTTGACAGCCATATTTTCATTTGAAAGAAATTATGCTGGTGGTAACATCGATGAAATTTTGATATTAAATAAAAAAAAAAAGAGTCTGTTCCTTATTGGATTATTTATGATTACGTTTAAGGAATTTATTCAGCAAGTTTTTTTTAAAGATGTAAACACCGTAATTGAGAGAATGTTGTCTGGTGGCGTCATGGGGCAAATGCTTATATCGAAGTGCCCACACACAAAAACTTACAATCGTCAAAATGACATTTTTTAAGTCATCGGTATTTGCCTGTGGAGTTCTGCTGTAAGGACTGTGAAATGTTATTGGGGGTAATTCACGACTATCGATAGAGTTTGAGACTACTCCAATTAAAAACTAAAAAGGGTACATACCATGATTCCATAATAGAACTTGGTACTTACATTGATTACACGTCTGCTCCGTGTGACGTGGAGATTTGAACTGTTTACTTGTTTGCCACTTGGTGTTTATACAAATGAGCGCAATTACCAATATCCGTTTTTGGATAAAATTAAACTCCTGTGTTTTAATTAAAATCGTATAAAAACATTTGCCCCTAGCCGGAACAACTAACAAATTAAGGTCTACTTGCAGAACATCCAGAGGTAAATATGTATATAAATAGAGAGTTAGGTAGCTCAGAGTTAAACCAAACAATGTCTTACAGCATTGAAAACTGCCCTAGAGTTAGGTAACCCGAGGAAATTCTAAATTAAGTAGGCATCACTCTCTTTTTTGACGTTTATTTACATTTCTTATTTGAATTTGAATGTAAAGAGCGAGTGTGAATGGATAACAAAGTTCTATGGGAAAAGCTGTTGAATAATATTTTTACTATGGTGAGACAGTTTTGCCAATCTGCTGTGTGAAATGAAATATTTTTTGACAGCAGTACATTTTTGATAATCGCGGAATAAAATATTACAAATTGAAGTGAAATTAATATTAAAAAAAAACATCTACCATCGTTAATTGCAATTCATCAATTTAAGCTTTTATTTAACGAAAAATTACACATATCAACAATCTTTGCGATTGTCAAAATTTTCCATGCATTTGTCAAAAATTTCACTAGCCTCATGAGCTACTGAAATTTTATTCACCTCATAGTTGGCAAAAATTTACTCGCCGCGAACTTTGTGACCGATTCATACACGCTCAAAATTTCAAACACTTTCATACATACATAAAAACATACATAGGTAAAACTTGTAAATTGGCAAGCGGAAATTCTGAGAGTTCTCCTAATTGGATGGACCACTAACACGGTTATTGCATTTTAATCGCATATATAGACTGACCGAAACCTCTGAGCTGAAGGCGGAAAAATTAATACGTGAATATGTATGTTAACCTTCGAAAATTGCTGGACTAAATATTTAACTATTTAACTCCTAACCATTGATTGTGCAAGCCAATTTATCAATTCAACCGGTAAACTTCCAGTTAAATAGATAACCTACTGTTCTGCAAGTGGGCCTACGAAAGTTAATTTTGTTTAAGAAAACAATTTGCTCAAAATATTTCTGAGAAAAGTCTTCTCCTGTTGTATTTCCTAGGAATATGAGATTTACCAAAGATTTCAGTGCAGTGGAAATGTACTATTATGGCTGTTTGCCAATCGGTAACTGTTTTCTCCGTGGTGAGACGGGGTAGAAAAATGTTCTATGGTGTACAAATAAATTAAATTTTGCTGTGTCGAATGCAAAGTAAAATTTTGACAAAAAAAAAAACAAACGCTCGTGCGAAAGCTCTAGTATTGTGTGTTGCTAAAATTGTTAAAACAATGTTATGTGTATACATATTTAGAATCTGTCAAAATGTTACCTAACCCAACGAGAGTCAAATTTTTAGTTTGAGCCGTCAAAATTTCCTATTTTTTATCAATTGGCACAGGTCCTATGTACAAAAATTATGAGCTAAAGATTTAAATATGATAGTTTCAAAAATGCCTCCTTGTTACTTCACCTGGTAGAATTCCACAAACAATTGGAAGTGTGATGAGTACAGAAACAAAATGATGCAGTTAAAATTTTACTAAAGAAAAGCATTTAAAATATGAAAGAGTTTTTACTATCTAGATGCCCCAAACTAGAATAATTTTTCTATTTGTCATCTACTTTTCTCCAGACTCGATGCGAAGATGGCGCTTAAATTTTCTGGAATATTTCAGTTTTCCCAAGATTTTTAAATCAAATTTTTTTGCCCTACTCATTTCCTTTTTTCGCGTTGAAACGTATGTGTGTACTGAGCATTCGTCTAATTTACTGTTCCACTCGAACAATTGGGTCGTGTATACGTCGCATTACATCGCCTTTGGTGAAGCAATTTGAGCTTGTATTCTTTGCACTATATCGACTTTGTAGCATTATCGCGGGTTTCCCTGGCAATTAAGCAGCACACAAATAGGCGGTTCATATTCAGAATAACAGTGGAGGAAAAATTACGAAAGCCAAATTTGCTTTTCAGGCTTTCAGCAGGACATTTGCTCAGCTACTGCCGAAAGCCTGAAAAGCGCGGAACGCCTGAAAAGCTTGTTGTGGAGTTGTGCTTTTAGTACCGGGTTTCGATACGAGTACTGGTTTTTCGATACCTACTCAGTATTTGGTTCAAAAGTAGCGATACCAAAATTTCTTGGTATCGATCGAAAAGTATCGAGTATGTACTCGTGTTTACTCGTATCGTTTCATACCTACTTGTGAAAAATCAACTTGAACCATCAATTAATTTTAAACATATTTTAAAATGAGTGAATCGAGTAGTGCTGAAGAAGATACTACATTTTATTTTGAAAGTGATCATCTTGCTTTGCGTGGCCATCCAGATTACACAAAAATGTTGCGCACCATAGCAATACTAGAAGTGCAAAGAACGCGCGTACTGAAACAGGTTCGTAGTGGTTTTATTAAATTTTGTTTAATGCACTTATGTGTACATATGATTTTAATCATTAAATATAAATATTTTAGATAGAAGATTTGGAGATCGCAAAAAAACGATACATGGAGAATCCAGAATTGCTGCTTGAAAAGTTGCGAAATAATGAAGAAATCATTGCGCCAAACTACATGACCATTGAAAAGGTAAGTAGCCGATAAAAACTGTGTTCATATGGAAAAGTAGCTTATGTCGAAAGGCTGGCTTTAGTATAATGCGGCATTCCCTTTACTCTTTAAACGGCAAGGAATTTTTTGATGAGACTTAATAAGAATATTGACTTGCTAGTATCGGAACTACTTCTTGCACGTTTATTTGCCGAAAGTTCTACAACAGCTCAGCGCCGGTGAGTCATTCGCAATCGTATGCTGCGAATGCCGATTTATACTAAAGCCAGCCTTTCGACATAAGCTACTTTTCCATACGAACACAGAAAACAACGCACCTGGCTAATTGGACAATAACCTATATCAAAAGATACCAGAAATATCTACAAATTTGGATTTTATGCCGGAAAATGACGACAAAGTGAAAGAAGAACCTGAATCGGATTCAAAGCCAGCAACGGTGCGCGGACGTATTGTGGATGAGTCCAAGTCGGAAACTTTTAACCAAGTAAATTTCTTCACAGATATATGTATATGCACGAACTTCTCAATTTTGCATACTATAAAATTATTTATATGTACGCATCTATAGCTATGGTCCTGTGAAGAACAACGTCGCCTTGAGGAGCTGCTAATCGAATACCCAGCAGAGGCTATTGAAAGTCGCCGATACGCGAAAATTGCTAAAGCACTGGGTAATCGCACACCACAGCAGGTATCCAGTCGTGTACAAAAGTATTTTAAAAAATTGCACGATGCAGGCCTTCCCATACCGGGACGTCGGCCGAAAAATAGGCGTGGGGGTCAATCGAAAGCAAAGCACTTCTTTCGACCAACTACATTTTTTCCCGCATTTAATGTACCTGTACAAATGCCGGAAGATGACTACTCATTTGGTGACTTACGCTCGGAAAGTTCACCAGCGCCAACAGATAAACGCAATACCTCCACGGAAACTCCACCGGAAGAGGGAGCCAGTGCCATTGAGTCACTTAGCGCTGAAGATCGTGAACGCATGTTGAAAATATTGAACTTGATAAAAGAAGAGAAAATGAATACGCCCGAAGGTTATAATCCAGATCCTTTAGCTCGGTTGTGTGAGACATGCTGTGTAGCTGCCATTTCGCGTTTACATTGGCGATGCAACACTTGTTATATATACTTAAATCAATGCTCCGATTGCATTGTGAGTCAGTTGTTGTCACAAAAATTTGAGCATCTGTCACACGATGTAGTTACGGAGACTGATACGTGACAGGCACATTGGAATCCAAAAGCTGTTAACAATATAATTTGATTTTGAGTACTGAACAGCCAAAAGTGTCTAAAACTATTTTATAGCTCAAAATGTTTAGTATAACATACTCATGTAATGCCATAAAGTCTGATCGACGAACTCTCCAGTAGTATACCGTTTTTGGTGAGAATTCTAATACTGAAACAAGAATAACAGATCAAAGTGCTTTACAATTTTTATAACTAAATTCATTGTCTTTTATTATTATTATGTAACGTATGCACATATGTGCTAAATAGTAAGTCGTAGAGATGCGCTCATAAGAAAATTTTAAAACCGTCACGCATAACCAAGCAAACAAAAATAAAATCATAATATTTTTAAAATTTGCTGTGTTCAAAGTAGCTGCTTAAAGGGATAAGGCTGGAATTTACATAGCCCTTAAATATCGAATCGGATAAATGTACGTACGTTCGATTATAACTTTTCCGTTATAAATGGTAGATCCAGTATGGATAGCCCAATCAAGGATTTTTAAAATCTGACACCAGATTTAAGTTCAGCAATCATTGAAACCCAGAAATGTTTACACAAGCAGGACAATTACAATTTTTAAAATCCGAGACCAGATTGTATTCCTGCTTAAAAAAGTATCATTTCATTTCATTTATTTGGTTTTGTCAATTTTATTATTTGTCGGTTCGTAAGTTTGGTGAATTGCATCTATTCTACAACATATTAGTGGTATTCTTCAAATTGGGCAAGTGGCCTGGCAGTCTGGCAAAAGAACAGGTGGGCTCAACCAACGACTGTTGACAACACTCACTTGTCACTTGCTCACTTTGGTGAATACCACTATCGAATTTCGCTCGCTGATTTTAAAAGAGCAAAAGTGTACAAACATTTTCAGCATTTAAATTTAGCTCTGTGCCGGTTGACATGGAACGTCCCATATACATCTAGATATACAGTGGTCGAAAAAATTATAGCCCTACCACATTTTGGCAAATTTTAACATAATATTTTTGCTATTTAATTTAGATTTTTTTTTTATAAAAACATAGTTCATGCGTTATATGGAAGCAAATGTGACAAAAAAAAATTCCAAAAATCGTAATTTTTTGTAATTTGAAAATTTGTAGATTATATTTTATTAGAATTTAATCAATAAGAATCATTCTAGGAAAACTAATTAAAAAAGCTAGAAATTTTTACGAAAGCTTGTTGATTTTTTTATGGGCCATTCTTTCTGAACGTTAGCCCCTCCCACCCTGTCCATTTTTCTTTTAACTTACATTTTTTTTAGATATGTAAAATTCATGAAAAACAAGCTTTCCAATGCAGAGTGGCAAAATAACGCGAGGCCCAATTCTACGTTCAGATAACATATATGTGGGGTTCCTTTCACCGTCAGGGTCATTCGGTGAAACAAAATTATTGAATAGGAAAATTGATGGGGGACGAGGGCGGGAGGGTTAACGTTCAGAAAGAATACCCCTTATATATTGTACAAAGTTAGAAACTTGGATTTACGCGGGTTTTGTTAAACAATGCTCTATATTTTTTTACAAAAAAATTAATAACCAAAATTAAATAACAATAAAAATAATGTGTCAAAACTTGTCAAGATGTGGTGCGGCTATAATTTTTTCTACCACTGTATTTTTATTTTTAACCGACTTCATAAAAAGGAGAAAGGTTATCAATTCATCGGAATATTTTATTTTTTATTTCTTTTTTATGAATGTTATCGCATAACTTCGGACCACGTTAATGGATTTTTATAATTCGTGTTTTAAAGGAAAGGTGTTACCTCACAGGTAATCCCATATTAATTTGGTTTAAATCCGATCGTCGGATCATGAACATGACG